GAGCCATTTTAAGTTAATTTTTGTACATGGTATAAGATAGGAGTCCAACTTCATTTCTTTTGCATGTGGATGTACATTTTTCCCAACACTTGTTTGCTTAAAACACTGTCCTTTCCCCACTGAATTGTCTTGCCATGTTTGTCAAAAATCATTTGACCATATATACGAGGGTTTATTTCTGGGCTCTCTGTCCTATTACACTGGTTTTAGGTCTGTATTTATGCTAGTACCATGCTATTTGATTCCTGTCGTTTCACAGTATTTTTGGAGATTAAGAAGTGTAAGATCTCCAAGTTTGCTCCTGTTTTTCAAGAATCACTTGGCCATTCAGAGTCTTTGACATTTTTTATATGAATTTTATGATAGATTTTTCTATTTCTGCCTAAAACCTCTTTGAGATTTGCATAGGGATTTCATTGAATCTCTTGCTTGCTTTGGATAGTACTGACATCTTAACAATCTGAAGTCTTCCAGTCCATGAACACAAGATGTCTTTCCACTTATTTGTATCTTCTTTCACTTCCTCAAGCAAAATTTTGTAATTTTTAGTATACAAGTGTTTTGCTCCCTTGGTTAATTCTTTCCTAACTATTTTATCCTTTTTTGGTGCTATTGTAAATGGGATTGTTTTCTTAATTTCCTCTGAAGATATTTCATTGTTGGTATATAGAAATACAACTGATTTTTGTGTGCTGATTTTATATCCTTCGTACAATTTAGTATAGCTTTGCTGAATTTGGCTTGGTTATAACAGGTCCTTTGGTGTCATCTTTAGGGTTTTCTACCTATAAGATCATGCCACTTGTGAACAGAGATAATTTTAATTTTTCTTTTCCAATTTGAATGCCTTTTATTTCTCTTTCTAGCCTAATTGCTCTGGCTAGGACTTTCAGTACTATGTTGCAAAAAAGTGGTAAAATCAGACATTCCTGTCTTGTTCCTGATCTTAGAGGAAAAACTTTCAGGCTTTAAACATTGAGCATGCTGCTGGCTGTGGATTTTTCATTATGGCCTTTATTGTATTGAGGTAGGTTCTTCCCATTCTTAGTTTCTTGAGTGTTTTTATGATAACAGGGTGTTAAATTTTGTTGAATGAGTTTTTCAACAATAGAAATGATCAAATGTTTTTCCCCTTCATTCTTTGGATACAATGTATACAATGATTGTTTTTTTCTTATATCAAATCATCCTTGCATTGCAGGAATAAATCCAAGTTGGTCCTGCTGTACAATCCTGTTACTATGCTGTTGAATTTGGTTTGCTAGTATTTTGTTGAGGATTTTTACATTCATGTTCCTAAAGGATATTGGTCTGTAATTTTCTTTTCTTACAGCTTCTGTGTCTGACTTTCATACCAGGATGATGCTGGCCTTACATAACATGGAAGTATTTTCTCCCCTTTTTGGAAGAGTTTGAGTAGTATTGGTGCTAATTTTTCTTTAAAAATTTGGTAGTCTTTAAATGTTTGGACCACTGATGCCATCTAGTTCTAAGCTTTTCTTTGTTGAGAGGTTTTGGATTGCGGATTCAATCTCCTTTTAGTTATAGGCCTATTCAGATTTTCTATTTCTTCATGATTCAGTGTTGGTAGGTGGTGTTTCTCCAGGAATTTGTCCGTTTCACCTAGGTTACCCAATTTGTTGGCATGCAATTCTTCATAGCACTCTTATAATCCTTTTTATCTCTGTAAAATCAGTGCTGAAGTCATCTTTCTTTTGTGATTTTAATTGAGTTTTCTTTCTTTTTTCTTAGTCAAGCTGGCTAAAGATTTACTCATTTTGTTCATATTTTCAAAGAGCCAACACTTGGTTTTGTTGATTTTCCCTTCTCTATTTTATTTATCTCTGCTCCACTATCTTTATTTTTCTTCCTTCCTTCTGCTAGTGTTAGGTTTAGTTTAATCTTCTTTTTTTTTAGTTACTTAAACTGTAAAGTTAGATTGAGAATTTGAGACTTTTTGTAATGTAAGTATTTACAGGTATAAATTTCCCTCTTTAGCAATTGTTTTAGTCTGTTCAGACTGCTCCAACAAAATGCCAAAGACCAGGTGGCTTATAAATGACATAAATTTATTTTTCACAGTTCTAGAGGCTGATAACGTCCAAAATCAAGTCACTAGCAGATTGGGTGTCTGATGAGGGCTCACTTCCTCACTCTTAGATGGCCAACTTTTCACTGTGTCCTCCTGTGGCAGAAGGGACAAGGGAACTCTCTGGGGTCTCTTTTATAAGGGCACTAATCCCACTCATGACACCTTGATTGCAGCCTGTTAGACACCTTGAAGCAGAGACACCCAGCTATGTCACACCCAAATACTTGATCCACAGAAACTGTGAGGTAGTAAACATGCATTGTTTTAAGCTGGACTATATGATAGCCTTATAATACTCGCAGAACGTATTCTAAGATTGAGAAGGGGAAAAAATCTAAATCAAAAACACATGGAAAGCTCCTTAAAACTTATTCAAATGCAAACTTGTTCCTAACATGCATGTTTAGCTTCCTGCATCTGGCATGCTGTCCCTTCATTATAACTTTGAGGTCCTTCTCACCATTAGTACTTAGTTAATTAATTTTTTAATTATTATTTTCCTGCCAGACTAATAACGGTTGTTTTGCTTTGTATTATTTAATTTTATTTTAAAATTAACATCAGTGAAAGATGTGTTTGCTTTGTTTTTTGTGTACAGTGCTTGGAATTATATCCCATTTATAGGTTTATGGTAATTGAAAGGAAGAGCACCACTTGGATATTTCTGGCCCCTAAAAGTCATTACCCTACAATCAGAACAGAAGCATTCCATCAGCCCCCAAATTCCCTCATGCTATCTCTTTATAGACACAGGGAGGGGATTTTACTCTCACTTGTTTAATGCCCAGTTCCCAGTGCTGAGAAAAATACCTATCATTGAATATGAACTTGATAATGTTTGTTGTATGAATGGATGAAACATATATCAAAGTCAACAAATGGTGGGATTTGGTACTACAAGAACTGACAAGGCAAGTGTCTCCTGGATCGGTGGTCTTTATTTCTTTACAGAAAACAAGATGAAAATAACTTGACTGAAAAAATCTTAAGAAATTTTTATTGGCTGAAGGAATCTCTCATTCCATTGAGGATGAGGTGGTCAAATCAGTGCTTTAGCTCAAGTCGTATCTGTCTGTACCAGAGAGAGACGTATTTACAAAGATTTTATGAGTCCTCACATTGTAATAATTTTCCAAGTCACTGGCAATTCCAACTCTCTCCCCACCAACACTGTAACTACTTCCATGCATGCGGCAAGAGAATGGAGGGGATTTAGGAAGAGAGAGTGCTATGGTTCAAATTTCACTTACTTTTTGGTTATTCTAAAGAGGCATGACCAGACACAGGAGTGTCCCATGGCAAACTCAAATATTCTTAAATTCTGGATTTTGTCCACTAGGTTATTACTCATAAATATCCATTAGAATATGATCCATTAGAACATTAGCACAAAGTGGATATTTCACCTTTTCCACATGTACCCTTACTGACTGGGTGTTAACACAAGACTAGGTCTGGAGGTCTGTTTGTTTAACTAAAAAACTCTAATTTAATTTTCATGGAAGGAAAGCACTAAACCAAATGATTATTCAAAGCATTCTACTTAGTATAATCAGATCCTTAGCACCTTTTGAAAATTTCTGGCCCCTGCAAAGTCACTGCTCATTTCATTTTAGTTGTAAATCTCCACATGAGTATCAGGATTACTCCCCAATAAAATAATTACATTTATTGCCTTCATAGGGGCTTTAGAATTACTAAATGAGACAGTGCAAAGAAGCATATTGTGGTATGTGGCACCAGATAAACTCATAATGGACAGCTCTCATTTCTTTTATAAGCAGTGTTACTACTTATATGCATCCCGTAGACATATATGGAGATGGAGACCTATCCCAGCTTCCCTCTGGTTTAGAGACTTATGATTCAGTTGATTGATACTTAATGGCATAAGCTATGTGCCATTAAGTGATGGTTCCTGTCTTAGTGCATGGTTTGAATCTCCTTCTCCCCGTGACTTCCACAACTTTTATCTAGCACATGCCATCTTGCTCCTCCAGAAGACAGGATAGGGGTGAGTGTAGGAGGCTGTGCAATTCATCCATGTGCTTCCTGCCTTTGGTCCATGGAATTCAAGTTAACTTCCAGGTTCTTTGGAGAAAGGCCAAACTCTTAGATTGGTCCTAAAGCCCTTCATGACCTGACATTCCCCAAGTCATTCACCATGACTGGATTTTCCACTTCACAAATGCTTTGTTTTCTCTCTTCCCCAACTTTTCACATGCTGGTTTCTTTGTTTGACACTCTTTCTCCTCATATTTTCTGAATTACATCTTCTTATCCTTTGAGGTTTAAGACTGCATCTTCTAAGAAACCTTCCTTGATTCTCCTTTCCAGGTGTTCATACTGTATCTTACCTTTCCCATATTCATATTTTCATATTTCATTCTTTTGTAATTATATGTCCAATATCTTCTCCCACACTCAACTATAAATTCCAATTTGTAAATATCACATCTCTCCTGCTCACAACTCTATGGCCAGTATCTAACATCAAGTCCAGATTAAGTACTCAATAAATATTTGGTGAGTGCTAAATGGATTATGAACGAGGGTAAATTCAATCTGGTAGGACTAGACTAATTTTTCTTGGGAGACAGCATGACACATACCTAAAAGGACCCTTAGTAGTCCCAATATTTGAGAAAATAATGACAGGGTCACCTTGAGGTGTCCTTTTGAACTTCCGCAATTCAAACTTCAATGTGGCTACTCTCCGAAACCATGTAATTCCATACTTTTGCCAAAGACCTTAGATGTTGAGGTCTTACTTCTTGGAAGTTTCCAGGCGTCTTGATGGTCAGGAAGCTGAGGTGATTTTTTTGCTGATGAGATTCCTTAGGGCCCCCTTCAAGTCTCTGTTCCTCAGGCTGTAGATAAAAGGGTTCAGCATGGGGGTGACTGCAGTCTACATTATAGCAGAGGCTTTTTCCTTCACGGCTGTGCGGACAGATGAAGGACACAGATAAACCCCAATGGTGGTCCCATAGAGGAGGGCGACCACAGATAGGTGGGAGCTGCAGGTGGAAAAGGCTTTCTTCCTGCCACCTGCAGAGGGGACCTTTATTATGGCCACGATGATGCGAACATAGGAGGCCAGGATGCAGATGAAAGGTGTGGCTATCACCAATCCTGCCACAATGAGCACAAAGATCTTGTTTACAGACGTGTCAGTACAAGAAAGCCTGAGAAGGGGAGTGAGGTCACAGAAGTAGTGAGGAATCTTGTTGCTACCACAGAAAACCAAGCGCACCATCAGGAGGATGTGAGTGAGGGAGATAAAGTAGGAAAACACCCATGGGCCACCAGCCAGCAGGCCACAGAGGCGTGGGCTCATGATGGTTGTATAGTGTAAGGGGTGGCATATAGCCACATACCTGTCATAAGCCATCACAGCAATTAAGACGCTGTCAATGATGCCAAAAAAATGGAAAAAGTACATCTGGGTTAGGCAACACTGATAGGAGATTGACTTGCTTTTCATTTGGATGTTCACCAGCATCTTGGGGACAGTGTTGGTGGCCAGGCCAAAATCAACCAAGGACAGGTTGGCTAAGAAGAAGTACATGGGGGTGTGGAGGTGAGAATCTGAGCTGATGGCGAGGATGATCAAGAGATTTCCCATAGCCATGACCACATACATGCAGAGGAACAGAGCAAAGAGGAGAGTCTCCTGTTCTGGATATTCTGAAAGCCCCAACAGGATGAATTCAAATGCACTGGTTTGGTTTCTTGGTTCCATGGGTATGATTCTTCTGGAAATATTGAAGGAGGAAGCTACATTAACACTATGCAGATTATTCTGGAAGTTTAGAGGAGTTTACACCGAATTTCTTATCTGTGCTAATTACAGCACTATCTCATGTATACTTTGTATCTTAAGCCGTTGATAAAGTGTAGCAACACAGGTTTCAAGACAGTTCAAGGGACCTTGACTGAATCTTGCCATTTCAGATAAAGTATGAGAGAGTACACCATGCATGGATCTTTGCTGAAAGAAGTACTAAAGGATACACTTCAGGCTAAAATAAATTGCACCCAGACAGAGTAAATGATGTCCAAGAAGAAATAGTTAACTATGAAATATGTATATATGTAAAAAAAATTAAACAAACACTGAGTCTATAAAAGGTAATAACTGTAAAATGCATGTAAACATGGTGGATTAAAATACTAGGGAACAATAATAGAGAATATCCAAAAGTTAATTAGAATAAAAATATTGTAAGTTTCTTGTATTGATTTGTGGGAGAATAAAAATATTGAGTAGTTTGGGCGTTCTATGTCAAGCATTTATGATAAAAGATTACATGTAACCACCAAAATAATGGACATAGAATCTAAATTGGTGCCATGAGTACACAAGAGATTTTGATCAGACAATTTGGAACAGGAAAAGTGTGTTGAAGTTTGTTCACATTGACTTGCAAAAGAGATACTTAAACTTCAATAAATTTTGATAAAATGTTGGTAGCTTAAAATTGGTCACTGTGAGAATATCTACACCATGGGAATAAGTAAATGCTATGAATAAGGTAAGAGTTGGCCCACTACAAAGTTAGAAGACACACAGTCCACAAGACTTCACTCACGTTGACACCCATTGCATGTTTAGGGGTTTCCCCTAACAATGCCAATTTGATAACTCACTAGAAAGACACACAGCTGTTATACCCATGGTTAAATCTGTTATACTCACACTTAAAGTTTATTACAGCTAAAGGGTAAAAATTAAAATCAGCCAATAGAAGAAGCACTTAGGGGGCTGGCCTGGTGGCATAGTGGTTAAGTTTGGATGCTCCACTTCGGTGGCTTGGGGTTCGCAGGCTCGGATCCTGGGCACGGACCAACACACTACTCACCAAGCCATGCTGTGGCAGTGTCCCACAAACAAAATAGAGGAAGATTGGCACAGATGTTAGCTCAGCAACAATCTTCCTCAGGCAAAAAGTGGAAGATTGGCAACAGGTGTTAGCTCAGGGCCAATCTTCCTCACCAAAAAAGCGCCAAAACAAAACAAATAAAAAAGCAGAAGAAGTGCATAGGGCAGAGCCCAAGAAAATACCAAACACGGAGCCTGTGTTCTCATCTCTCCCTGGAGTTGTAGACAGCATTACTTTCAATACACACAGAATATTGCCAATCAGGGAAGCTCTCCTGAGCCTCCATATTTGGAATTTTGGCTGAGGCTCCATCACGTAGGCATAATTGGTTGTCCACATCACTCATGTCAGTCTTCAAGCTCCAGTCCTCTGGATGTCAACTGATGCCATGTGACCCAAATCCTCCACCTGAAATTGCATTATTACTTAACCTCTTGTGGCCATTTCCTCACTAAGGCTATCTGACATGGCCAATCCCTACCCAAATCACATCTAGTGTGATGCAAGACTTCCAGGCAAACTAAGACATTCCTATCAGCCACGGCATTCCAAGGGTTTAGAGATTACCTCCTAGAAGCTTTTTAATCAAGGATAAATTATTTACCACACAAGCAACCACCTCCCTCCCCCCATCCTGGGTTAAAGCTCTTTTATAGCAAAATGATCATATGCCTAAAATTTGATGCTGTCAGTGTGGAGTAGGGATAGATTTAAAGGAACAACCAATCCACCTTATAAAGCCTTTACATATGTTTTTGTATTTTTGTCCCTTTATCTAATTCTATTTATACGTTATGATAAACTTGTGCAGAGTAATTTAGCATAGAAAGTAACTGATGGTTAACTAAATTCAGCTCTTCCTTGGTTGAGGCATCTTCCATTAGTATTACATAATGAAGAGGCTTTAATTCCATTTCCCAACATCTGAGACCGTCATTATTAGTAATCTAATCTTACCAACAATGCCAGTGTTACACCATATTGCAGTATGGTAGTAGATGTAACCTGAAAATTAAGAGTTAAAGACTCTCAGTCATGAACAATTCAGTTGTTGACAATTAGTCTGGTCCAGTGTCATATCCTAAGACCGAGATGTCACCCAGAGTATCGCCACTTGGAGTTGCAGGTTTCTATTTACTTGGTCAGCTTCCAAAAGCAGGAGTTGTCTCAGCAACTTATGGCTTCACTCTTTAAGGCATTTAGTATAATTGAGCTAAGAGACAAAATCATCTTTTGCTCTGAGCTCGTGTCAATAGAATCCAGCAGCCTCTCAGGTTGTTCCAAAGTCAGTCCTAGGTGAAAAGAAGCTATCTGCTCATGAATACAATGAGTATCTATTCTCAGTCCCCTGGTAACATGTTCCTGTGCCAGTAATTTCCATGTCATTATGGAACTCTTCTGGGCACTGCCCTCACCATTAGAGCATTTCTTTGATATCACCCAAGACATTATGGTGATTTCAGGTTTCAAGATTATTTTCTGTCTGTCAGTCATGGGGCAGTTTCAATCAATGTTTGATATCTAGCAAATAATTGTCTCTCAAAAGGAAATTTTCTAGTCTAAAATTCTGGCGGTTGTCACTGGATGACACTCACGGGCTTTTGCCAGAAGCCAGTTTGTGTAGACTCCACACTTCTTTCAAGAAGTTTTATGGGTAGGAGCTAGCAATTCTCCTAGATGTGGACTATGCGTACTCCAAAATCCAAATAAACCAATGAAATGCTGGTTTTCTAACACGTTTTGTCCATCAGGAACCCTATGATGTTTCAGATTTACACCTTGTGTGGTCTCAGTAAACTTATTGCTTCCCTTTACGTAAGTCCAATCAATATTTCCCAAAAAGTTTACAATACTAAGTAGGGGAAGGATTCTTCAGTCAGACATACTATCCATTCCCATAATACATTCAGCTAAAGGAAGCACAATCACTTCACATGAAATCCATTCAAACATTCCAATTTTCATCCAAACTTTCATCTTAATCCCATCAACCATTGTAGCCCCATATCCTCTCAATCTAACTATAGCCCTGTTAGGATTCCCCAAAAGATTTTGGAACCATGGAGTATTTTACTCACTTATGCACACATATCCTTTGCTCTCCAGCCAGAGAGAGCACCAAGCATCTTTTGATAGCATCATCTCAGGTGATTCGTCAGGTTTTTATTGCCATCTTTGCATTCTGGCTTTTTAAATTCCTACAAAGCAGGGCTAATTCGGTAGATTTACTTAGGATCCTTCACTGTTGGTGGAACAGCAGGGGCTCCCATTTGTCCACCCAACCTCCAACAGTGCTGCATTAAGACCTTTGTTTTGCCCCTATTAATCTTTACTTTATTTATCCTATTTCTCAATATCCATTTAAGGATTTCCATCCTGCTGGGTTGAGCCCTGTGACTCTCTCCTTTCTCTCTCCTAATTCATTAATTAATCATCTTAAACTTGTTCATTATCTGTCAATTCAGCACAAGTGTTTCCTTTGATGTTGGCCCTCAGGCTGGCAGGAGTATCCCAGACCAACTCATATCCAAACTCGGCCCAGCATCAGGGTCTGCCCCAACTTCTCCAGCCTTTTGGGGCATCCCACAAAGAACCAGATTCGATTTTACCCCATCCAGACTGGCAAAGCTGATAGGTATAGAGATGGCTAAGAATAAGGAAGAAAAGCAGGGGCTATCAGTAGCAACCACACAGCAGAAGTGATCATGGTTCCCGGTGACCTGATCTGCAGATAAACCCAGGAGATTTCACCACTGAAGAAGGAACAAACAGTCAGCATAACCACTGAGACACCACTCTAGCCCCTACAATTTCACTAGCAGCCAGATCAGGTCTCTGGGGCTGCGTGAATCTAAGAAGCCAGCTAGACGACACCACCATCACCACCACCACCACGGTACACATGCTCAGGGCTAGCCGCTCCAGCTGTGCAGCTGCATGGCCCCTGGCCAAACACTTGTTATCAGTCTCCAGTCAAGTGTACATGCCTGGGGGGAAAGTGAGCAGTCACAGGAGGGCATTCCAACAGCCAGGGCCCCCACAGCTGCTTGTGGGCTCAGGTCAGACCCTGTCTTTTGTCACTGGCAGGTACCACTACCCTCACCTCTAGCTAGGATATCCAACTGTGCACCTGCACACCCCTGGCCTGACCCCTGTCACTGGGCTCCACTGCAATGCACATGCCCAGGGGTAGAGTGTGCAGCCATGACACAGCATGCTGACAGCGAGTGCCCCCACTTCCATCAATGAGTCCTTAGTCAGCCCCAGTCCTTGCACCTGAGTGTCTGGAAACAGCCCCTGCCACTACATAGGCACCTCCAGCTGGTCCCCACTTGCAAGTGTGTGCACATCACCAGCTCTGGCCACTACTGCTGCCTTCCCTGGTCCTAGCAGATGGACCGAGAGGTACCATTGATGACCCCAACAGCCCTTATAGCTACTATGGACCCCCTGCAGTGTTCACCAAGGAACACATAGTTATCGAGGCTTCAGATCCCAGCAGCCTGAACCAGGAGACATCACATCCTGCTGGGCCTGGGGCCCCCACAAACCCCTGCACTTGGCGCCCTGCACCCTTAGTCACAACATGCTCCAGTGTGCCCCACCAACAAGTGAAAGTCTTTCCTTACTGAAATAAATCCATAAAGTCTGGAAGAGGTGGCTGCTTTTTGCAAGGTTCAGGAACCTCTGAAAATCTATACTTCCTGATTTATTTACTACTGTCCTCCTAAAATATGTTTACACCAAACTTTTGGGAGAAATCTGCCAATCCCCCTCGCAACCCATCTTTCTCTGTCATTTCCTGTCTCCACGCTTCTTCACATTTCATATTACTTAATAAATTCCCAATATGTGCCAA